TAATAAAATATAATTAAAAAAAAAAAAGAGTTGTGCTGCCAACCCAGAAGCAGGTGGTTTGAATCCACTAGCTGCTGAGAGATAGAGGGAGGGAGAAAGAGCAGGGGTGGGGGAGAAGAGCAATCTCCTCCCAGGCTGGCTCCCATAAAGTCCTAGTCGAGGAGAGCCTGTGGGGCAGTTCTGCTCTGTCCTCCAACCTCTTTCTGAGTCAGAATCAAGTGTGCTGCGCACAGAACCAATAGGCTTTTTTCTCCGGTCTCTTAACTGCTGTTGCCTGCAGTCACCTACCACATAAACGATTTACACAGAAGGCCTTATCTCAAACTCTACTCTCAGACTCTTACTACAAACTCATTGCCATCAAGTCAGCACTGACTCACAGCTCATCCTCCGGTGGGTTTTCAGGAGGCTGTAAATCTCCTGAGAGATGGTCCATTTTTTCTCTTATGGAGTCACTTTCAAGACTAGCTCAGGATAAGGACCCTCAGAAGCCTCCCCTTGGAAATGGGAATTCTCACTGGACGGATGGCAACCAGCATTCCATTGCTGGTGCTAAGTGGGATGGCAAGAACCCTTCTATTTTTTTTTAAACTGTATTATTTTTACGTGTACCGTCAAATCAGATCTGACTGGTACAGGAGGAGATTGCCCCCTCCTTCTCCAGCAGAGCATCTCGTGGATTTGAACCGCGTACCTCTGGGATTGCAGTGCAGCGTCTTGCCACTAGGCCACCAGAGCTCCCTTAAGCAAGAACTCTTCTTAATAAAAATAATGATGGAGAACTTCAAGTTGATGACGGCACAGCATTAAACCAGGGAACTGTGTGACTGCACAAGTCAGAGGCCTGTGAAGCCGTCGAAACAAGAAAGAACTTTGACCAGCAGAGGGAGCTGGTGGCCTATAAGCAAGGAGGTGCCCTGGTTCCAATGGAGAACTTCAGGCTACTTCAAAGGAGGAAGATGGACAATGTCCTGCCTCTTAAAGCTCACTGGCGGGTCAGCGATGCATTGGCTTGGTCTCACCACAATGAGTTGTGAGTTTGAGTTGGCTGGGAGAATATGTGACAGTTGAAGTCTGCATTATCTACCCACACCTTACCCATCTTCCCCCTTTCTTCTCTCTCATCCCATTTCTGAGTCACCTTTCTTCCCCTTTGTCTCCACTGCTCCCCCTGCTATCGGTATCTACCACTCCCAGGGATGGGTAGAATGGACAAGTGCTTAAAGAACTTACTTGCTTTGTTTTCTCAGTAGCCAGTATACCACAATCAGGGCTATTGCTTTTAGCGTCAGTAAAAACCCTGGAAATAGTAGCTGCAGCCAGAGAGGAGAATCGTCTCTACCTGGAAGAGACAGCATTCGTTGATCAACTTAACCATGTAATATTCTCATCTGATGGCATTGAACTGTTAAGTTTTTATGAAAGGGCAGTTAAACTTCTTCCCAAAGTGAGGCCCCAGGAATTGATGGGAACATATTTCAAATGGCAGTATTCTTTATTGTTGTTTATTGTAGTGTTGGAACTGACCCATAGCTGACCTTCAGGCAGGTTTAAAAGGCAGTTAATCGTTCAGGAGGAGGTTGCCCAATTTTCTCCTGCAGAGCAGCTAGTGACCTTGAACCGCTGCTTTCAGGATTACAGGGCAGCTTCTCACCACTAGGCTACCAGAGCTCCCTTAGCGAGATACAAATCAAAGCAATGATAGATCCTCTTACCCTCACAATAAACAACAAATGCTAGGATGTAGCATGTAAGAGAGACTGGAGCTCTCTTACACTGCTGGTGAGAATGTAAAATGGTGCAATCATTATGGAAAAGAATTGTAAGGCACTGCCTTAAAATGTTGAAAACTTAAATACTATTTGATTTAGCCATCCTATGGTTAGGTGACTAGGTCGTGGTACTAGAGATATTGTAGCTGATGTTAGATGGATCTTGGCTGAAAGCAGGGAATACCAGAGGAATGTCTATCTGTGTTTCATTGACT